AAAAGAAAAATTCAGGTTTAAGGAGTTGCAAACTAAAGCCTTGGACATGTGTGTTATCAAAATCTTTGACTATAATGAATATTGTCCCTTCAGGATGAACCCACTACAGGGATGGACCCTCAGTCCCGACGCTTCTTGTGGAACTCTATTGTCAGTGTGCTCAGAGATGGGCGAGCCGTAGTCCTGACCTCTCACAGGTAATGCAGCCCTTGCTTCCTACCATCAGCAATGGAGTCGGGGCTGAAATCCTGCTTTAATCCTGACCCTGTGTTCTCTGTTGTCTCAGCATGGAAGAATGTGAAGCTCTTTGCACCCGTCTGGCCATAATGGTGAAAGGGACCTTCAAATGCCTCGGCACTATTCAGCATTTAAAATACAAGTAAGTTGGATATTTGTACCCTGTGCTGTTAAAGAATTGTCTGGAGATTATGGGGATGCTCAGGATACACCACAACCTGTACTTCATGTGGAGTACACGTTTCAAAGAGTCTGTGATTATGCAGCCTTCCAGGTGTTGAACACAGGTCTAGCTCCTATGTTGGTTGTTAAAAATAATTCAGTGCCCATCCTATGAAGGCACCTGTTTAATAAAAAAGACCATTCAGTTAGGCCCCTTCATCTCACCTGAGTATATTACAGACCAATACTTGAGAATACATGGGAATCCTTCAGCTTCTGAGGAAGCTCAGTAGCGCTAGCTCTAGGGTATTCTACTTCATACGTTTCTGCAGAAATGACCCATAACCCTTGTTGGAGGGGGAGACACAATTTAAAGGTCAGGGGGACGTGACCTCCCCATGCATTACTTCTAGACCATTTTCCATACCTGCTTCAAGTGGGCACCACCTTGCCTCCTTCCCATTTTACTTCTCCCATTGCCTCCCTACTGTGGGCATGATGCAGGCCTGAGCAGGGGTAACTACAACCGTGGGTGAGAAAGGGATGGGACTCAGAGGGCTTCCCTGTGCCCCTTCTGATGGAGCTGAACTGCCAGCCCCAACTCTTCCCTTCTCCAGGTGCCTTCCAGCAGGGCTCAATGGGAGTGCTAGGGGCTACCAGGTCCTTTCCCAGCTGCATACTCTCAGCTACATGAAGCCCAACTCCCACAGTGGCAGAGATTGGGGAAGGGGATGTGACACCAATGTGTTGCCTCTTCATTTCTGAGTGTATAGCTAAGTGCTGAGAGCTGATTTCCCCCAGCTGAATAATAAAAACATGTCTTCCTAAAACAACCAAAACCCATGTGTGTTTCTCAGGTTTGGAGACGGCTATATTGTCACCATGAAAATCAAGGCTCCTAAACCTGGGCTGCATCCAGATCCAAGCCCAGCTGAGCATTTCATACAAGTCAATTTCCCAGGCAGTTTACAAAGAGAGAAACACTATAATATGCTGCAGTACCAGATTTGCTCCTCCTCATTGGCCAGGATCTTTCGGTTACTTATCTCCAACAAAGAAAACCTGAATATCGAAGAATATTCAGTCTCACAAACAACATTGGATCAGGTAAATAAGAAAGCAGTAGTCATCCATGAGACAATCTAGCTGGCAAATGTGGGGAAATGGAATGGATCAGGCAAACCCCCCAATAATTTAGGGTTTATATCTGTCTTGAGTGTTAAATCAGCCTTTGATGGACTTTATCTTGCACTCCTCACTCAGACAAAACCTCATGTCAAAGCGCAGCATCAGACCTGTTCATACACTGATGCCCTGAGGCTACCGTGACTGCTGATTCCAGGTGTAGAAGTACACACAATCTGTTCCATTAGGATCACTCTTGGCTTCTCAGGACAGAAACAGAAGTGGTGGTGGGCAGATCAGACCAAATTCTGCTATTCGGAATGAAACTAGTTGAATATGAAATAGACAGTTTTCTCCTGATTTGTTTTAAAGTGATTTTGATTGCTGTGTGTCAGGAGGCCCTATAGTACCCAATCATCTAATTGCATACATATCCCTTCTCCTCAGAAGGCATTGACTTCTGTACAGGAGTGCTTCTATGCTAAAAGCCGCAACATAGGCCAGTGCTGTTGGCAGTACACACTGTCATTAGAGGGCATCATGCCCACTTGGTGGCCATAGGTTGGTGCTGATGATACCTGCTAGGCTGCTGTCACAGGGGCTGCCAGTGTGTATGCTCCTCACACAATGTGAGTGCTCATGACCTCTACACCGTGCTTCTAGGGGTACGATATCGTCTCCCTTGCCCACCAGTGTGTGGTGCATGTTCTGTGAGCCTTGCCCTTTCAGCTGACATAAAAGGTGGATTTGGTCTCATTGGAACATGTGTATGTATTCAGTAGAGGATGAGGAAAAATGTGTGAACTCTGCTGATGGGCATTTTTCATTTCTGCACCTACCTCAGGGTTCCACTTCACACCTCTTGCCTGCAGAGAAGCTGATGTGGTGCAAGTGGCAAGAGTAGTTCCATTGCCTGGCCTTTGGAGGGAGGGGCTCGTTATATTTCATCTGTTCTCTTGCAGGTATTTGTGAACTTTGCTAAGCAACAAATGGAGGATGAGGAAATTCCATTACACCCTCGTGCTGCTGGAGCCAGTCGAGTGGTGAAGGTGTCTCCAGCTTTTCCTCGACAGACAGGTGAATAGAGCCACCCTGCAGCTGCTAACACTGAAAGCATGTTAACTCACAGATGTGCCATATCAGCTCTATGGAGTCAATGGGCACAGTATTCAAGTAATATTTTGTACCTTTCTGAATACTGTGATCACCAACTAGCAACAAGAAATTTCTTCTGCCTTGGCTTGAGAGAGACATGAGGTACACACTTGAAAGATCAAAGGTGTGAAAGATGCTTGGTTTATAATAGAATCATCTTGTATTATCAAGGATCATTCTATGCCACAAAGAAAAACAACTCTCTCTTCCTTGCTGACATACAAGAAAGCATTAAAGATAGTTTTTCTATGTTAGACCTTTAAGATTTTTTTTAAAGCTGTCCACATTAATTGCGACAAGTAGCATTGGACACCAAACCAGTAAGAGCTGCACCTTAGAAACGGGCATCCGCCTTCTTAAAATGCAAAGGACTTTATCAAGCCAGGACACAAATGTTAAGACAATTCTCATGCTCAAACAGAACATTTGATATTTGAAAAATCTTGGTGATTTCTGGTAACCAAAGTAAACACATGGCCCTTCATTTCCTAGTTCCAGGGCCTGAGGTAAAAATACCAAAAAGGATTTTTTTTTAAAGTATTTGTGCAATGTTCAGTATTTCTGATCTGGCCCAAAGTAGGAAATATTGGCACTCTCACACGAGAAACCTCACATCTTGGTAGTCTGAACTGACATCTTATCACCAGCTGAAGTGAAATGTTCTCTTTGTGCACAGCCCTCACGTCTCAAGCAGGATGTACATATTGCACAGGCCTCCTGTAGACAAGGGAATTTCAGGATATATACAGTCCCCTTTGAAGTCAATGGGAAAAGGGGCAACGGTAGCAGACAGGTTCCCCAGCATTTTTGGAGGATTATATTACTGAACTGTCACACATTTTGATGTTCACCTTTGACACTAATTTTGTATTTAGTTCTTTTGCTGTTTCCCAAACTACCAGAGAATAGCAGACTGAAAAATTATTCATAATGATTTATTGCTTTGATTACTCCAGCAATAATCATTACGTGCTCCTAAGCCCTTCGTCCAGTGGTAGAATGTGTTATGTAATAATGTACTCTGCGGATTTTGTCTTTTTTTTAGCCAGTGAATGTAACATTTTTACATATAAATATAATACAAAGACCATTTTGTTTTGTATTATATTTGTATGTAAACTATGAAACTTCTGCAACCAGCTGTAATACTTCATCATTTGTTGCCATAATTATTTTGACAGTTCAAAACAGGCTTGATTTTATTGCATATTTTATCTTTACAAATAACTGTAAAATTTGTATGCATTATTTCTAGATAAATAAATCCTGAAAAACATTATATATGTTTTCTCTTTGTAGATACATTCTAAAATTGGTTCTTTAAAAAGTCATTGTCAGAATTTGCAGTAGTTTCTTGAATAGATTTACAGAAAACCTTCAAGTTTAAACTGAACTTGTGGAAAAAAAGTCATACAGAAAGTTCCATATGTAACTGATTTCTTTTCTCTGCTTAGCAAGCAGGGACAGATCTATCATTTTGAGGACTGTAGGTCAGTGCATTTTCAAGTACATTGTAAACTCTTCAGAGAATACTCACATAAAACCCAAGGTTAAAAGTTCTTTTTGGTATCATAATGACTTGTTTTATGAAAACAGGCCAAATACCACAGCTACAGAAGCTACTCCATCTTCAAAATCTAGTCTACTAGCTGGTGAGAAATTTATTGATAAAGGAGTTTTTCTAACAGAGGATGTTCTCTCCATAATGACTCGTGATTTAAGATTGACTTCTCTAAGTGTGTGTTAAGGCCGACTCAGTCATCCGAGTTATGGCTCACCTCTTTATTCTGAGTACTCCTATTTCTCCCCCTTTGTAACCTCTTCATTTCATCATGAAGCACCTGTCTCCATAGTGCTTTCTCTCCAGCATGGAAAGGCAGCTCATGCATCTCTCTTTGTATAAGCCAACCTGATGCTGACTCCAGAAATCATTGCATGTCCTTTCCACTGTGGTCAATCAGCACTTCTGTGGAATGCTGTTCCACAAGTTGGAGCTTCCTCTTGGCAAGCTTCATAATGATGCACAAAACCAACCAAGTTGGTGCAGGAAGATACAACTGTCACTGTCTGAAAGGATCTAGGCCAATAGGGTAACAGTGAGCCTTAAAGGCCCATGGCTTCCAAGGAAGCAATAAAGTCATGGTGACCAATGCGATTTTATGAAAATTTAGAACTATTAGGGAGATGCAGTTTCCAATTTTGTAGAATTTCCAACAGCAATGGGGATTCAACATGCAGCAGAACCACCCTGATTTCGTTATCTAAATGAATTCTCACTTGCTAGCAGATTTCTCAATAAATGAACCTAGCAGCTTGCCCTTCTGTAGTTCCACTCAAGTAGTTCATTCTTCTTACAATAAGAAAGGAATAATTGCCATCCTAATACTTGGGTAATCCTTGAATTCTCGTACGTAGGTGTAGTGTTTATCCTTTGCCCAAACTGTCATCTGAATGAAGCAAAGCAATGTGAACAATCCCACTACAAAAAAGAAACAATGTCAATGCTAGTAAAACAACATTATCGTGTCCTGAGAACAAACCAGTTGGAAGAAGACAGAATCCTACTCACCGGGGACACACTGAGTCATGATGGTGAAGCTGATCCATGCCCCCACCTGTGATAGGCAAGGAAATTCAAAATGTTTCTAATGGCAGCATTCACGTTGATACCGCTTATCAAAAACATCCCTCATTAATGTTGGTAAACAAACAAAAACAAAAAAATATAGGGTTACCCAAAGCTTTTTCTGGTATCATTTATTTTTAACAAAATCAATGGCGTCCTGTTAATTCCAGAACAAAAGCTCCCCTTTTGTCATCATGGTTATTATATGTTGTGGGTTGGATGTAAGTTTCTTGCTCCAGGGAGGCAAACAGAATTGCCAGGCCCTGGGGCAAGGTGGAGGGGGTTCCATGCTCCCAGAAGGGGTGGGGCCTCCGGTATAGAAGGGACGGGGTGGGAGTAGCTTTCTTGTCACCCAGAGCACGCTGCCTGGGGCTCCAGTGGTGATTTAAAGGGCCCAGAGCTCTAGCCACCATCACTGCTGAGGAGGCGCCACCCCCCTCCCTCCCACACACTTTTGAATCACCAGGGCATGGGGCAGTGCCCTCTTGACTCTGTCCACCCCCTCCCCCTTCAGCAAGCCTGCCTTTCTCCCTCATCGCCACCTACTTTGTGCTTGTTCCTAAATCAGGGCTTGCAATGGTGACATTCTGCAGCCCTGGGAACAAATTTTTGAATTCCATTTAAAACAACAAAACTCGCCTGAAGACATGATTTTGTATAAATCTGACTTCAGCAGAGTTGTGTGGATTGAGGAGACGCTCACTCGTGTGTACAGGACCTGAACAAGATCTATGCATGGCTCACATCCCATTTAAATCTCAATTTTGAAGGACTAAAGGATGCAAAGGCTTCATGCAGTCGTTCTGCACAGAAGTAAATTTCACTATATGTACATCAGGATGTCTGCTACGATCGCCCTAAGCTCCTAATGCAGCTTCCCATTAAGCCCTGCTTAGGGGCTCAAAGCTGCAGCATGGAAAGATCTCTCTCCCCAAGCCTGAAGCTGTCAGGGCCACCAGGAGGAGCACCTTCCCACTGGTCCCAGCACAGAGATGCTGCAACTAGGGGAAAGGGGCCTAGTCACGCTGTCCCCAACAGGGAGTTACACAGGTACGCCTAATTTGCAACACCCTGCTCCCCTTGAACCCTCCTTCACCCCAAAGCCCACACTCCCAGCCTAGAACCTGTACCCACTCCTGCACCCAGCCTCTCTCCAAACCTGGAGCCCACTCCTGCACCCAATAACCCTCATTCCCAGCCCCTCCCCAGAGCCTGCACCTCCAGCCAGTGCCTTTGCACTGTAACCCTCTGCCCCAGCCTGCACCCCCAGTCAGAGTCCTCACACTCCTGCACCACATACCTCTGTTCTAGCCCCCAGCTCTGTCCCATACTCAGAAACCCTGGACCCCAATCCTGCCACATGAATTTGTTATATGCACCACTATGAACGTGATGTCACACGTCACCTCCATGTTGCAAGTCAACTCCACACTGGTGCAACTGTAAGAAATGTGGTTTGCTTGCACCACTGGTATAAATTAAGATGTAACCTGCAAATCTTAAATTTCAGTATGGTTTACTTATGAAAATACATACCTCGTATGTATAGTTAGGACAGGATACAAAGAAAAACAGCCACGTGAAAGGATTCTTTGTTGGATAAGGGATCTTACGGATCTTGGATCCTACACATTAAAAGAACCACAAAAAATAAATAAATCACAGAACACTGGCTCACTTCTGGACAATGTCATTTGTTATATAGACAATGACAATCTGCCTATTAGAGAGCTGGCTGGGAGATGGGCAAAATAGATTTGGAAACAGGCACTCCACTGAGCAAGAGGAAGGATTAGGGTGCCTGTGGCAACATTAAAGTCTGCACACAGTATTTGGCAGTACCTAGAAGCATCCTTGGGAAAGATCATTGGCAATGCTGCATGACCAGCCCTAAGTCACTCCGATAGGAAGTGTCTGCACCATTTCCCACACCTCAGACGCGAATGGTGTTTTAAGATTACATTTACACAAAATTGTGGATGCAGTTAGCAAATATCAGCCACAGCCTACACATCCATGACACGAAGAGGGGACAAACATAAGGGTGTTTATGCTTCCAGCCACACACTCACTTTGTGCCCTGGGCAGGAGCCAGGCAAATTACTAGACACTGCTCTCCACAGCACAGCTCCTCCTATCACCGCCAAAAGAACTAGCCAACCCGAATACCCCTTTTGAACCACCAGGGGATAACACAAGTCCATGCCCTTATGGCACAATCTGGCCCTAAATGCTTTTGTTACATATGCAAACTTCCTTTAGGGTCTAATCCTAGGAGGTGCTGAGTACTCTCAATTCCCACTAAGGTTAGCTTGAGAGTGATTAGCCCAGGGGTTGACAATAATTTTACCATGTCTTCTCAGGTCACTCCAAGATTTTGGAAAGTGGTTGAGAGCTGCACTCTTCCATGATATTAATGGAGGAGATGTGAGGTCTGGGATGGTGGTTGGATGCAGAAGGGAGAATGGAGTATGGGAGGGAGTTGGGATGAAGGAGGTAGTTGTGACCTATGGTCAGGGACTGGAGTGCAGGGGTTTGAGATGTGACCAAGTGTAGGGGCAGGTTGTGATCGGGAGGAGGTATGGCTGCAAGAGGGGGCCACAGGGTTTGGATATGCTGAGTGGGGGGGGGGGGCGCAGAGGGTTGGGGAAGGGAGGAGTTGGGGTGCCAGAGGCAGGCTCTGGCCAGGACACTTGCCAGCCAGCAGCCAAACCTGCCTGCCTAAGGTAAGGCTTGCAGAGCTTAAAACGCTTACCAGCCAGCCTGCCTACCCAGTCATGTGATCGTGTGAATAACTGAGCCGAGGAGAGGAAGCATGGTTCTTCCTGGCTGCCTGTTATTCAAATAGGCAGCTCCCATTGGCCAGTTTCTGGCCATAAACTGGCCAATGGGATTGTGCTGGGGGCCGCTCCTGAAGGTTCCCCTCCTCCCCTCCAGTTTTGAAACAGAAACAGGGCCTGGCATCCACATTTGAGTGGCATGTGGGGCAAACAGGAGAGCCTGCCTGGGGCTCTTCACTGACTCTGCGATCCAGACCCAGTGGCTTGGTGGGCCAGATTTGGCCCACAGGCCATATTTAGCCCAGGCCTGGATTAGCCCCTCACAGGAGGCTTTCTGCACCTTGCAGGATCAGGCCATTCATCTGTATATGTCATTGCTGAAGTGCTAACTTAACTGCACAATGGTAGAGAACAAACTTTTACCATGTCTTCTCAGGTCACTTAGTGTAATGTGGATAGAGAAATTTCCAGCTTCACATATCTGCAAGAAACAGCATAAAATATAGTAAAGGAAAGTGCTTCCCTTCTACTTATCATTCCTCTTCCCAATGCTAGCTCCTAAACAAATATTTTTAAAGGACCCTAAGCACCCATTGAAAAATGGACTAAACAATGGGACTAAAAATGTATTTAGATCTTAAAGCTCAAAACAAGATTTCTGACTGACAGTAAGGAGATTTCTGTTCTACTCAGCCTTCCATACACAACAGTCCATAACATATGCTGCTTTGCATTTCTCAGATTGCTCAATATTTTTAAACCAGTCAGGCCAGTCAAATGGTTAAGGAAACACATGCTGGATCCACTTCATTCAGGGGTATGGTGTTAGGGTCTGACCAGAATAGTTCAAATGCATTGCACTTTCTTGGGATTTGGTCCACAACTGCAAGTAGGCAATCTGGATTTCTCAAAATCCCAAGGCATATTTGTGCGGTATAAATACTGATAAGCTGGTCCATAATGCTGTCTGCTCTAAAAATTTCCAGTTATCGCCTTTAAGGTTGGCAGTACCTGTCTCAGGATCAGGCCCAGTATTCAGTTATTCTATGGTCAGGGAACCCTGATGTGCACAGTTGCAACACTCACACTATAGGAACTTTCTATATTTACAGATATACTGGTATTAATACATTTAGCACAGCCACAAACACTACAATTTCGTAAGAGACAGGGAGTGTACACCAGTCCTTCAAGAACAACCTGTGTTATAGAATCATAGAATACTAGGATTGGAAGGGACCTCGAGAGGTCATAGAGTCCAGTCCCCAGCCCTCATGACAGGACCAAATACTGTCTAGACCATCCCTGATAGACATTTATCTAACCTACTCTTAAATATCTCCAGAGATGGAGATTCCACCACCTCACTGGGAAATGTATTCCAGTGTCTGACTACCCTGACAGTTAGGAACTTTTTCCTAATGTCCAACCTAAACCTTCCTTGCTGCAGTTTAAGCCCATTGCTTCTTGTTCTATCCTCAGAGGCCAAGATGAACAAATTTTCTCCCTCCTCCTTGTGACACCCTTTTAGATATCTGAAAACTATCATGTCCCCCCTCAATCTTCTCTTTTCTAAACTAAACAAACCCAGTTCATTCAGTCTTCCCTCATAGGTCACGTTCTCTAGATCTTTAATCGTTCTCGTTGCTCTTCTCGGGACCCTCTCCAATTTCTCCACATCTTTCTTGAAATGCGGTGCCCAGAACTGGACACAATACTCCAATTGAGGCCTAACCAGCGCAGAGTAGAGCGGAAGAATGACTTCTCGTGTCTTGCTCACAACACACCTGTTAATGCATCCCAGAATCATGTTTGCTTTTTTTGCAACAGCATCACACTGCTGACTCATATTCAACTTGTGGTCCACTATAATCCCTAGATCCCTTTCTGCCGTACTCCTTCCCAGACAGTCGCTTCCAATTCTGTATGTATGAAACTGATTGTTCCTTCCTAAGTGGAGCACTTTGCATTTGTCTTTATTAAACTTCATCCTGTTTACCTCAGACCATTTCTCCAATTTGTCCAGGTAATTTTGAATTATGACACTATCCTCCAGATTAGTCGCAACCCCTCCCAGCTTGGTATCATCTGCAAACTTAATAAGCGTACTTTCAATGCCAATATCTAAATCATTGATGAAGATATTGAACAGAGCTGGTCTCAAAACAGACCCCTGTGGAACCCCACTTGTTATACCTTACCAGCAGGATTGTGAACCATTAATAACTCCTCTGAGTACGGTTATCCAGCCAGTTATGCACCCACCTTATAGTAGCCCCATCTAAGTTGTATTTACCTAGTTTATTGATAAGAATATCATGCGAGACCATATCAAATGCCTTACTAAAGTCTAGGTATACCACATCCACTGCTTCTCCATTATCCACAAGACTCGTTATCCTATTAAAGAAAGCTATCAGATTGGTTTGACATGATTTGTTCTTTACAAATCCATGCTGGCTGGTCCCTATCACCTTGCCACTGTCCAAGTGTTTACAGATGATTTCCTTAATTACTTGCTAACCAGTGTTAGCCATCATCTTCCTCGTCACCATCACCTTCCCCATAGTCACCAGTGGCCATCATTTTCAGGCACCTCCCACGGACTGCCTCTCCTTTTCCTACGGCCCTTGGGCTGGGATGCTACTTTTATAATATGTTACCCTGACATTATACTGGCATTAAACATAACATGATTGACATTATGATACAGGTTGCAATCAATTCGTTACCATGGGCCTTTTGTGATTGTCCATCACAATTGTTATTTCTGTTCTAGCCAGTTATTTAGTCTGGTCTTAAACAGTTATTTTGGGTTTTTCCAATAATGATGTACCTGCTATATTAGAGGGTATTCTTGGAAAGCCCTATGTCACAAAAGGTTGCTTTATCTAGGTTGAAAGGTCCTCAATACCTGCACATTGTCTTTGCTATCTTGGTGAAAGGTTCCAGGCATGTGTATGCTAGCTTTGCCTTACCTCAACATACAGGATGTGGTCTGTAAATCCCTTGTGTTATAGCCAAGCTGCCAATAAAAGCCTACAGTAACTTATTATAATAAACATATCAAAATAATGAAGAAATACATCTTTATATTTATAGGTAAGCAAACAAATTAACTCTATAGGCTATACACACCCCTTTGATGGTGAAATTTAAAATGAATCCAGTCACACAGGTCTGGATGTTATTGGTCAGACATTTGAAGGGACGATTCAATGCTATTTTTCCTCACTGGGAGTGGAGGGAGAAGTATCCTAAAGATATTTTTTGTGTCTTCCTGGGATATGCTTTGCTTATACCGGTTACATTTGTATGCTAGAATAATGATGATAATCTCAATCCCTGATTTATGACCCGTCTTTATAATCCAACATCCACAACAAAGATTGTTAGACTCATTACCTTCACTAACTGGGTAACAGCTTCTTTTACTTAATCCAGATCATTAGTCATTTCTATGAAGTGGGTCTCTTTGAGCCAACAATGGTTAACTATATTCCTAGGGAAATGAGGGAAATTGCTTGGTTCCCCAACAAAGTAGGATACTTTGGAGTAAAACAGAAATTTGGATTTGTGACCAGGATACTGCATTGGTACCTCCTTTGATTGCTTACCATGTAAAAATTGACCATATACAGAATTAGGTTACCCTCTCCACCAGAGTCTTCTACTTAGCCTCTCCAGGCATGACGATGATGATTACTTATTCCTCTCCTGTAGTCCACACCGAAGAGTGTCTGTCTCAAACATGTTACATCTAGAGATGCACTTAACCTCCTCCTCTATCCTCCAGTGCCCTTACCCTCTCCTCTCCCAGCATCACCCTGTCCCCCCTCCCACTGACACCTCCCCTCCTGCCCTTTTCCTCATTGTCTCCACTTGGCCCCCTGGGATTTGTCTCTCCTGCACCCCTGTCCTTGGTGCCTTCCCTTTTCTCCTGACCTGTCTCTCTCCCCTCAGCACAAGCCCCTTCTCCTCCCCTCTGCTGGGTCACAGCAGCCTTTTCCCTGCCCTGTCCAGCCTCTCTCTATGGACAAGCACCCTCACTCCCGACCCACAGAGGGAGCAGGGTGCAGGGACAGCACAGAGCCAGAGGGCTGCAGGGAACAGTGGGGTTGTACAAGGGTGGCGTGGGGAATGGGAGACACAGAGCCAGAGGGACGCAGGGATCGGTGGGAGCAGGGTGCGGTGGAGGCACAGGGAATGGGATGCAGAGAACGGGAAGGGCAGAGGGATCAGGGTCTAGGGGCAACGTAGGCAACGGGCAGCACAGAGCTGGGGGGGCAGGGATCGGGGGGAGCAGGGTGCGGGGTGCAAGGGCGGCGCAGACCCAGAGAGTTGCAGGGAAGAGGGAGAGCAGGGAGTCCGGGGTGTAGGGGAGCAGGGGCGGCGTGGGGAACGGGCGGTGCAGAAACAAAGTGGTGCGGGGTTGGCGGAGCGAGCCGGGCGGTTGACAGGGAGCAGTCTCTCGCCGGCGAGGGGGCTGCACCCGTGGC